TTCCCAACCCCTGTAGTTGCCCTCCCCTCTCTCACCCTCTCTCTTCCCCTCTCCCACCTCCTTTTCCCAGTCTCCCCCAGTTTTGTTCAATAAAGACAGAGTCAATGTTGGAAGAAACGTTATCTTTATTTTGTACATCAAGAAAAGGGGCTAGGGAAGGGTAACTGGAAGGAGGTGAGGGAGGAATGGGGTACGAGCCCCCGATGGGGAGGACTGGGCTGGCTCTGTGGGCTTCTGGGGGTGGAAGCTGTCCTGCAGCCCCCCAATTGCCTCCTCTCCCCAGATGGCATCCTGCGGCAAGTGCAGCCGGGCTGATGGCCGAGTGCTGTGATGTGCCTAGTATGGGCACTCCGGGCACTCCAAGCCAGGACTGGTTTTCAAGCAGGGCACCCTTGAGAACTGTCTGTCCGGGGTGGGGGTCGGGTCCCTTTAAGCGCAGCCCTCGGCTAGCGTGAGACAGCATCTCCACGCTCTAAGTCCTCCTCTGATGCCCTGCCGGCACTGCGTCCGGCCATCCTTAAGCCCGGTTCAGGGTCCACTCAATGTGGACATGCTAGTTCGAATTAGCAAAACGCTAATTTGAACTAGTTTTTAGTTCTAGACGCGTTAGTTCGAATTAGCTTAGTTCGAATTAACTAATTCGAACTAAGTTAGTTCGAATTAGCGCTGTAGTGTAGACGTACCCAGAGATAGTAAACATTCCCTTGGTAGTGCTTACCTCTCTGCAGTGTTGGATTGATCCTATCAAGAGTTAGGTTTGATAATCCTGCACCCTCCCTTCAGATGGTGTTGGATGCCTTGGACTGTGGCTAGGGTACGCACCTCAGAAATCTCTAGGGACTGCAGACCCAAGAGGAGGCAACATTACATGTAAATGTCAAGGAGCTCAGAGTGGGGTCTTCTTGCATCACATATTGGGCACTCCACCAGCTGGTTCAGGGACAGTGTTCTTTCATGAAATGACACTCAGATTCATGAAGGGTCTTCAGCAGTTTTACCTGCAGGTACAGGACTGTGTCTGACTTTGGGACTCCTCTCCAGGTTCACTGACCTGCCCTTTGAGCCAGTGAGCGCTTGCTCCCATTTCTACTATTATTAGAAATAATAGCCTCCAAAATAACAAAATCAAAATAGCATATCCCCACTACTGGGGAGCCTCAAAATTAATCTGAAGCAGGCTCCATTATTGTGGATGTGCTACCTTGACTTAGAGCCCCAGGAAGCACTGGAGAGTAATTCCTTCAAATGACAGTGGGAAGTAGTTATTTCAAAATAGCATCAGCACAGTGTCCACACTAATATTGTTTCTCAATAACTATTTTAAAATAAGCATTATTCCCTGAGGTAAGCAGGAGCACAGATTTCAAAATAACCAGGGTGTTATTTCGAAATAACAGGCTTGGTAGTGTGGATGCTCTGCTTATTATTTCAAAATAAAGGGGGGGGGGGTTATTTCGAAATAACTCCCTAGTATAGACCAAGGCCATGAGGGCACCACTCTAGGCCGTTACCCAGTGGATATTGCTTACAGACAATTTTCCGGCACTGGTGCATATGGTGAGCACACACATTAATGCAGTATGAACATCAGCAACAGATATCGAAGAATACCTATTACGGAAACAGGTAACTGTATTTTCTTCTCTCTCTTTTTTCATGTACACAGTTGACCCACATGTTCATTTCATTTTTGAGGGCCTCCATCATAGGGCAGCCCTACTGTTTGCAAATACTTACGATTTGTAGATATTCACTGTATTGAAAGAAGGAATGTACCTCATATGGACTAAAACTTTAATTATAATACAGGTTGAACCTCTCTAATACAGAATGATTTCAGTTAGCCAGATGGCCACTTTTCATGGGTATGGCCAAGTTTCCTGCAGTCCCAGAAAGTTTGTTTACGGCAACCAGTTCTAGCTCTCAGTGTTCTGTGCTGTTATTTAGCTCTAATTTACCCCTGAATGTCCTCTAGCAGCACAGTAAGCAGTAGAAGTGCTGGTAATGCTGCTAGACAATATTGACTTTCCGTGGTCCAGAAAATTCTCTCATTCAGAACCGGTCAGGTCCCGGGGGTTCCGGACTGGAAAGGTTCAACCTGTAATTTGAGAGTGGCAACAAGACAGGTGCACATCTTTTATCTTTGCACCCGAGGAACAATGTTTATGTTCTGAACAATTCCAGTGGATTGGAGTACAGGGTAGTTCCCCTTTTTTCAGGAATAAACTAATAAATATGAACTGTATCTCATTGTACATTTTCTAGGCTTTGTGCTGGACATCACAATACAGTGAATTTTCTACCAAAGTTGTTTTTAAATGCAGGCTTGTAGTAATGGCGAAGTGATCTTTAGCAGACAAACTAATTACTGGTGAAGAGACTATATCGGGGTCGATTTTTGCTCCACTAACCTCTCCCTTCCACACCACCTTCTTGCCAATATTCATTATTTTATCATGACT